TTGTTCTGGCCACGCAGGCGTCATTTCACCAAATCCACTGTTTTTACTATTGCAATCACCCCTTTATCTGGTTTTTTTGCTCCGTAGTTCAAGGCTAGTCTCCTGCAAAAAACCCAAAAACTTTGGCACGGATACATCATCGTGCAAGCAATGCAGCTGCCTCGTATCAAATGTTTGCGCGAGACAGAAGCTGAGTTTTGAGGCTCGAACTTGCGCTACCTCTACGGTAAAGTTGGAACCTATTCGAAAAACGGCACGAATACGCAAAGATTTTCCAATATTCAAACAAAATATCTATCGAAAAAGTTTATTTTATCTCATAGCGTTGGCAGAAGCTAATTAGAGTGCGTAAGCCATAGAAAAACAGACGTTTTTGGAGCGCAATGACTCCAAAAGCATTTAGAGTTATCTGGGATAAGTAACGCTTTTCTTTTTGAACTGCACTGGGTTCAGTGTGTAGCAGGCATTTCACACTTTGTTACTGTAACTCCACAAAAAATTTGGACCAAAAAGATTGCAGTCTTGAATGAAAAATGGACCTTTATTTGAGGTGTTCGTATAATTATGAACCGCTCAAAACTCGCATTAGGCGCAAAAACACTCCTAAAGTTGACATCGACTATCATTCTTATGAATCATATACCATTTTCGGCTGTGCTCTTTCGCGTGGTACCAACGACCTTTTGAGTTTCTTCCAAAAAGTCCCGGAACTTCCAAAATTGGGGGTGTTCGTATAATTATGAACCGCACTTCATAGAGAAAGATAGGCCGGTGAATTTTGAAAAAATCAATGTCTCTCAAATTTTGGTTACCGCAACCATACAGTAAGACGCTAATTTGCAAAGCAGATATGTTTTTCGTGATCAGCAGTTATATGAGCCCTATGCGCAAGTTCTCCGAGTAATTCGGGCTCTTTGTTTTTTTCTCGTTCTAATTTTGAACCTCGTCGACGGGTTTTGGCTGAAATATTGATAGACTTGGATGGACGGAAACTTCGCCCATAGGGGTTTTCAGACTTGCTGGTTACGAAAATAGTGCTCTTTTTGCACTGTGAGTTCTGACAGGGTTATCCTGAGAGGAATGCTGCGATATTACGCAAGTTCGTGATTGTCTGCCCCTTTCGCGCGAATCCATAGTTGTACTTTCAAGGCTAAGTCTTCTCTCAAGCACTGTGGGAACCGTAATTAGCGTCTTCAAAGTTCCTTCCGTAGCCGCCCATTTGTGATGTTACTGACTATTCGAATGCTTTCATAACTATGTTAAACCTACACAACTTATCAACATTTCCAAGGCAGCTGCTTAAAGCAATTGATTAGTAACTTCGTAAGATTAAATAGGTATTACAATCAAATAAAATGCTAGTAAGCAATCAGTTACTTCCTTTCCCCAAAACAAGCTTGCTGATTCTTGCAACTTTGATAGAGAAAGAGCTACAAAGCTTTAATTGAGAAAAGTTCCTCTTACAGACGCAAACAATAAAACCTTCGAATAATTTGCGCTTACTTTTCAATTCTTCTTTATATACGATACGGCGAGTGCACTCATATAGAAGTGTACAAATCCTTGAAAAACTCATAATAGAAAAAGCAGTAAGCTTTTATACTTTGGGTGTTTAAAATTGCAAAAAATATCACCTATTCAGCTGACTTTGGACCATTCAATACATGTTTAAGATGGTAAATGAGACAAAAAATTTTGAAAGCTCATAGCAATTTCAATTTTAGACGAATTTTTTCAGTTCGATACAATAGAAAACCCTTTGCGTGGTATGCACCGTATTCAGTGGTGCTTAAATAATTGTAGTTGAGATACATACATATGGAGGAGATACAAGGTGATAATTAGAGACATTGTCAAGAGCATGCCTTCAATAGTCTAGAGACAGGGCGTCAAAAGTGAAGGTTGTCTGATTATCTGCCCTCATAGTGAAGGTTGTTTATAGAAGACCAAAGAAGAAAAAAGTTCAAAACAGATAGCAAAAGCAAAAGAAACTCCTAAAAGCCACATAAAAACGCAGCAATGAGTTTCAAATTTCATTTGGCTGCATTTTAAAGGGCAGGTTTTTGCTCAAGGACCAGGCAATCCACAACACCGGGGAAAACGAGAAAGAGCTAATTTTTTGTATTGTTTCAAAAAAGACCATGTCTCGGAAGTGGGGGTTATCAAGGAGGTGAAAACAAGGGATGAATTAGTTATGAACGCGAAGTTGTTTTTTTAATGAGTCGGAAAGCACGTCAAAGCCAAATCTAGTTTTTGATGCGTCCTTCAATTTACTTCCGCAATGACGTTCACACTGGCTAGATTGTTGTGCTCATTATTCTGAGCAATAATAGCCGAAGTTGGAAAAAAAATTCTGCGAAAACACTGAAAAAGAACAAGGTAAATAAAAATGCACTTTTACAGTTTTCACGAAAAATTCGGCATAATCGAAGAAGAAGCACTGGGAGGCTGTCTACATTATGAACGGAAGTAAGATCTATCGAATGCATAAAAAACCTCGTGGAAAGAGATGAACTAGAAAAAAAACAAGAGATTTTTGAAAACACGACCTTTGTCAGATTTCTCCTCGAGTCAAAAAATTGTTTTTTGGGACGCTGTCAGCGCGAAAATAGAATCAAGTACTTCAAAGTGATATATAATTTGCTAGAACTGGTTTCAGAACAACCAAGAAAAACGTATCAGAGTCAAATTCCCCGTTTCCCGCGTTTGGAGTAACGAGTAGCGTGCCATGCGCAGAGATAGGCCAGAGCCGAAGGGGCATTTGGCTCCGGCTTAGATTTAACAAAATTCTGCAAGATTACGTATCATTATAATCGTCATGACACGACTATGAGCACTGACAACGTCCCAGTGTTGTCACTCAATAACGCGATAAACCAGCATTATCGTGCGCGACTTTCTGCGCAAGATTTGAGCGCAGCTTGTCGTTTGTATTGACTCCAGTAGCTTTCCTCAGACTTCTGACACACCACTATAGTCTGAAAAGAGGTTAAGTAAGATATGTTGTCCTATATTCGGTAGAAATTCACACGAAAATTTCGTTGTAGCACGAAAGAAAAGCTATTATATTAAAAGGGGCTATCAAAAGGAAATTGTTCTATTTTGGGATGTTTATCCACATTCATTTCAAGTTGGTCATGATTATAAAATCCGGGCGCCTCCCCGGATGACTTCTGCTTTTTTGTTCAGATGAGGGTTGTGTCCTCTCATGACCCTCAAAGTGGACTTTACCAGAGCATGTGGCTCTATGTATCGAGGGTATGTAACTTTCGTAAAGTAACATTCGTTTTCTTTTACTTTTGGTGTAAACTTTGGTATCAACCGAATAAGGTGGTTTCATTGCTCCTCCTCCGTTCTTCTATGATAGAGACATTCCCAATATTGACTTGGCGAGACTATGTTTTATTGTTATTTGCGCCTCTATTATTCAGACATTCTCCAAATTTCTCTCAACAATGCCTAATATTGTTTGACTAGCATGCTAACAATAACAAAAAATTAGCATTTTTGTGAGAGCCTTTGAAAATTTGCACTAGCCCGTGGCTCATAAATGTCAAGGGAGGAATCCATCATGAGGAAAAAAGTGCATGCGCCTAAACAAAAAACTAGCTGTTTAAGTTAGAAATTGAAAACGACAAAAACCAGTTTTTCTCAGTATTATCCTTTAGCCACTATGCAAAGAAGTTACCATCACTGTTGCCTTAAAATCCTATAATATAAGCCTGCTGTCGCCCCTGAAGTACCACCTTGCGACTGCTTACCTAAACTTCAACCAATCGAGTTTTGATTTGAATAATCGGAATCAGCTCCTCGTGAAATATTTGAAAGTGTTTTCTAAAAATTCGGAGATCTCATTTTGAACGATTTAATTTGGGACAATCGGCGATATAGCCGCCTTGTCACGTCGGAATCGCCGCACCGAGATAGCTTTATTCAATCAAAACTCTACATATGTAGCTCATCATTTGAGTTGCAGACATTGCTTGTTGCGGGAGCGCTTCTTCTCTCAGAAACCATTTCTTTTTACTTTCATCTGGTGTTTTAGTGAGAAAAAATTTTTGATTTTTAAAAGGTTTTCTTGACTTATTCACGTGACTATGTGATATTGGGAAAATCAATGTTATTGAATGTGTAATTACAAATCACCTACAAATAATTGCCTCTACAAAGATGTTACGATTTCGTAGTAATGCTTTCGAATTGTTGAATACAAATCCAAAAAGCCATGTGAGTTAGAGTGTACAATGTGTACTTTTAAATATATGAGGATTGTCGCGCACACCTGCGACACATAACATTTATACATATAAAAGTAGCCGGGCATGGATAGTATGCGGTGTCAAGTTTTTTCAGTAGTTTTCAACATAGCAAATCCATACAAAATATTGCATAAAACCAATTTTTTATCCTTTGAAGACACTCCATGAAAAATGCCAGTAAACCATAGATTAAGCGTTTGATTTATACATAGTGATGCTTTCCAATGAACAGTGACATTGTACCTAATTGTAAGGAACTTTCTCAAAGAAAAGGCTTGAGCAATAAGTCAATTACTGTAACTAGTCACTCAATTTCAAATTTCCATCACTTCCATTGTCAGAAGATGTTTTATTGCTAAATATACTCAAGGGAGTGAGACGTGAAATTCCTCTCAGGCAGTAACGGTTTTAGGCGGTTAGGAAGAGGGAGGCCTTTATGAAAGTTACTTACATGGCCTATAGAAATGTGCATGTACTTAACCATACTTGTAAATAATTGAAATAATTTTCTGAATTTTTCAAAATTTCAAGCAACGCCCTTCTTCTAAAATCGCGATGTGATGGGTCTCCGCAAAAATCTTGGGAAGCAAAAATTTTTCGGAGTGCTTAGCTAATGCCACGCATCTTTATTTTGGAAATTTTTCGTCGCACTTCCCCCCCCCCCCCCCCCGTCCCCCAGACGGAAATTTTGCGATCGCCCACTGCTATCAAAATAAATGAACTAAAAAATCTGGAACTTACAATGTGAAGTGAAGTTGGTGTTCTTGGCAGCACGAATACTGGTGAGAAATGCAATTAGCATTAGCGCTTGTCGCATCGACCGGTGAAGCTTCATGACACTGCTTTTATTCCCTGAAATTGGTCTTAAGAATAGTCGCAGTCAAGTCCGCCTCTTCTCTCACGGCAAACGATACTTTTAGAAATACGTACGAGATGTTAGGAATATGAAAATTTGCGTTTGCAAGTGTCTATTTTAAAATTTGGGCTACGTTGCGTGGAATAAATTGTAAGCAAAGTTGTTGATGTGATTTGGAGACCAAATAGTGGTAGTGAATGCTTTCGTAGCTAAAAACAAAGCTGAGAGCTGGTCAGGCACAAAATCTTTTGTTGATTTGATCCAATTTCCATTGAGGGAATCTATCTCACCTGGCCTAAAGTAAGCAAAATTGACCGAGCCTTTTCAGCTGCAGATGAGAAGACACGATTCCATTTTTTCGGGTGAGGAAGTTTGAAATGTCTTAAAATTGGAATACGGCTAGTCTCACAAATTTCGTCAATTCACACTCATTTGTTGATCGTGCAAAATTAAAAAGAATTTTACAAGAAAGCATAGCTCGGCAAGGGCAGACAATTTTCTTTTTCATCGTAGCATTCTCTAATAGAAAGATAATTTCAGGGCATCGATGTACATCAAGGTTTAAGACATGAATTATTGCAACAACATAAGGAATTGCAGAGAGACTTGCTCAGTTTGCCAAGTTCTTATACTACTTTCCGGGAAAAATCATAGGGAAGAAAGTTCGATGTTCCTGTTGTCTGAAGTGGGATTACAAATAAGGCCACGTTCCGGGAACGAAATCCTTTTGTTTGGTTGGAAACCCTGCTAATCTCATTCACATATCTTAATAGAGATAATATAGATCGGAAAAGTTTGCTGCATGAATGAGATGCACCGAGTGCAGTGCCGAGAAACATAGGTCGATGAGTTCCTTTTCTGCTTAAAACTTCATCGGAGAGTTCGTCTTTCAAAATATTTCACCAGAATGATCGTATGTAACATTCAAAAAACTCTAAAATCCCTTGATCGAAAAGTTCCCTCTTTCTATGCGGGAAAAAAACCAGAAACATTAAGCAAGCCATTTTGTTCCGGTGTAAGTAAACAAAGGATGCTCTTCTAATAAATTATGCATAGTTCTCAATAAAATGCTAAAAAAGTGCGCATTTTTCTGCTTCAACATGTGATTTATAATAGTTTGTCCCGAACATTTGTCTGTTTTTTCATCGATCAGTAAAATTCGTAGAACACCGAGGGTTTGAGTTCGGTACCGTTCGAACCAGATTTGTATTCTCTTTTTTTTATCCAATGCTCTCTAATCTATGCTGTCTTTGCGATGTCATCGCCATGGCTCTTCGAGCAGCTTGTCACGCCAAATCTCTCCTGAATTCGGAAAAATCGTATCCTGATGTTTTCAAAGAGCGCTGGTAGCTGTTATGTATAGCAACCTCTGGGTACATCAAATTAATTTTGCATTACATGGATCACCTTTGTCAAGTCTGTATTAATTATTAAATTAGGATCACCTTTGTCAAGTCTGTGTTAGTTATTAAATTATTTTTGGCAAAAACCGCTGCTTTTTATCACGTTTACTTATAAGAAAACCGTAAATTTCAAAAGGCTGATTTTAAAGCAAATCAAGCTTGATTATGTTGCACTAATATGACGTCAATTGACAAGCAAGTTTAAACTCGCAGAAACTTTTGAACCTTATATGTTTTTGCAGCTGTTTGCTGTGGCGTGTTTTACTTTACCAAAGATCAAGATCTAGCAATAATATTTGCAAAGCTAAAAACAGCACACCAGGAGAATCTAAAAGCACACCTTATAGTCCCATATTTGCTCTATTTGCGCCATATTCAATCTTTTTCAAAACTTTAGGATGAAATCTTCCAAAAATTAGGCAAACTTTGAGCAGATAAAATGACGGTACTGTGCGACGTCTCTCCCCTTGACTTATCACTTGTATCGCTATTTTGACGGGTCCATCTCGAAGTGGTGCAGTGGTTGATGAGCCCTTTGCGAGTGATGGCGAAAAGTTGGCGGAGACGGCGGGGTAGAGAAGCATCAGTGTCTCTCAATCCTCCTTCGGCAGCGGCAGCATCAAGAGTTGAAGGCGTCACACCAGTAATATGTGCGTCTTCACCAATGGCTGCAGGAACTTCATCGAGTACGGGGGAAGTTGATCTATGAAGATCGAAGTTTTGAAAGTTGACTTCCAAAAGTGTGCGTGTATCATCAGAAACTTCACGGGGACGCGGCTGATTGGCGAAATGTCTCCATACAAATCCTTAGACCTCGAAATTGTACATGGAAGGAACGCCCAATTCTTCATTGTATATCTCCTGGGGTCTCCTAGTCTTCGATGGATTGCGGTAGTCGCTGGCATAGACGAACTCATAAACTTCTGATTTCCTTTTCTTAGCTACACGTCGGCGGACGTACGTGGGTTCCATCGCCGGTTTCGATCCGAGGGGCTAGGTTGATGTGGTAGTTCGAGCATCAGTGACCAAACGTGAGAATGGATTGTTAATCGTTCTTCAAAGAAACATCTCTGCCGGCGAACGATTCTAGACGATGACGTGCAGGGCGTACAGCTATAACAAAATAGCAGCTTCGACGAGACTTCCAAAGGATTCCTTTCCGTTTCAGCTTCTAATCCTCTCTTGAAGATTCCGACGAAGCGTTCAGCGACTCCATTCCTGCGGTGGGATGACGGCGGAAAGTTTGATCCTGCATCTCCTGCAGAAATCCCCGAAATACTGAGAAGCGAACTGAGTGACCGAAGTGTCCGAAACAAGCGCATTTCGGGAACCCATATCTGCTGAAATTCTTTAGGAGCACAGGCGTTTCTGAAGCGTCTTGAGGTTATCCATGGAATGAGTTCAGCTTTCACGGGGTTTTTAGGGGCGAGTTGGCGATTTGGTGATCGACATTCTTGACGTTTTCTTCTATACCAGGTCAGTAGACAGTTGCGAATTAGCTTTATCTAAGTCTGCCCAAGGTGTCCGTTGTGCAGCATGCGGAGAATCTTCCCCTTCAGCGACGGGTTTGACGGTCCGGATCCGAGAAAAACGCATCCGTTGTAACCAGAGGTTCCTTTTGTTGGCTCCTGTAGTTGTACAACGGCGCTCCCGGAATGATTTTGGCCAACGTTCTGTTTGGAAGCAGTTGAGCAGCTCTATTGAAATGTTGGTCTTATTCATGGCGAACCGTACGTCTTTCACGGTAATTGCATCTAATTGAGCGCTTTGTCGTGAGTGGTCGCGATGTCGCTTCTACGCTTGCAATGATGACATCTTCGTTGGTGACATCTTCGTTGAGCGCACCTCGGCAAAGCAGTCGCAAGAGAGCATCAGCCTGTCCAAGTTATGTCATGGAGCAGCAATTGACAACGAAATCATAGGCAAATGATGTCATCGACCATCGTTGTAGACGATTAGCAGTGTAGACGGCACCCTTTCTTGCTCCCGAAAATAGTGAGGAGAGTGCGGTGCTCCTTAAACAGAATGAATCCTCGTCCGTAGACATACCGGTGGAATTTCTTGACGGTGAAAACTAAAGCCAATCCCTCCTTCTCAATCTGCAAGTGGTTTTTCTCTGGGGCCGTCAATGCGCGGACCAGATGACCGGATCAGATGTAAATGAACCTTTCCGATCCGCTCATAGCGGTGAGAGACCGCGCCTCCGATACCATAGTCGCTCGCGTCTGTGGCAACGATGATCGGCTTCTTGGAGTCATAGTGGCACAACAGAAGATCTAATGTCAGGACTTTGCGAAGGTAGTCGAAGGCATCCTGGCACTTGTTAATCTACACAAATGGTGTCTTTCTTCTTCTATTGACTGCTATACCGGCAGCATTCTAACAGCATCAGCGCGGGAATTAAAACTGCGAGCGAAACAGACAAACCCTGCTTACAATCAAAACGCAGAGAGAGAAGGGAAGCAAAGGGTGAGGGAAGAGGGAGGCCGTAGGTTTTTCGTTTGTTTATTTCTCGGCTTCTTGCCCATTACTCTGAGTGAGTTGGGCCGCGATGTCCCACCCATGCAGGGCAAAAAACCAAGTGCAGAAAAGTGAGGGGTCCAGAAAATTTTAAGATGGGCTCATAGAAATTTTTGAAAGGGACAATGTCAACAAATCACTTTAATTTTCGGCAAGTCGTCGTGCTACAATTGTCCAAAAGGCCACGATTTCTGAAAAGTATGTAGAACTTACTCAAGATAATTCAGAATAAGTAAGATGTAGGTGTTTCATTCTATATCACAGCTGCTAGAGCGAAATTTAGGATTCGACTCTCAAAAGGAGGGATTTTTTAAGGCGTGTCCAAAGAAACATAACTATAACATCGCAAACTGCAAGAACTGCAAGGAAAAGTGGCTATCACAAAGAAGGAAGATGTTTTCGAAAAAACTGACTCAGTTCAAGTTTCTTGATGTTTGAAGGCTAATCGAAAAAAAGACTAGAACTTTCGGGATAATGATATTCAAGTAAAGTTATAGTGCCACTGGAGTACTTATCTCATCATGCGTACTGTCAGATTATTTTTAGAAAAAGTTTTGGAACATTCTGGGCTAAACCTACTAATTCTTGGAATATGATGCATCTACATAAGTAAGAATTTGCGGTTATACGCACCCGTGCAGCTAATTTTTGAGCAAGTGAGAGAATTTTAGGATTGATCACTCAGATAATCGCCGGGAGTAGGCGGCCATGTGATTTATGGGCAAGCGGGCACCGGAAAAATAGTTCGCTGATTTCTTGCGGTCCACCCGCAGAAATTTGGAAGAATGTTGGCAAATTTTTAGTCGAATGCTCGCAGAAGTAATGCGGTTTTTCTAAAAATTAATCGCGGCTCATTGGGCCGGACTTTTCGCGAGAATATGCAAAATTATTGAGGGCCGCGCTGTCTTTTGTGGATGACCGCACAGCCCGTAGGTACCTCCCCCTAGGAGAAAGCACCCCAAACTCGGGTAATCAAACCATCAGTGACACTCTGCCCCATAGAGTCTCACCTTTGCTCGGCGTACATCTGGAACTGCTTAAAAAGAGTCCGAGCAC